GCTAAACCGGAAATACGTCTGTGTCCGCTGGTTCCACCGTTAGTTAGTTACTTATGAACTTGACAGCAGATATATATTTATTCATTCTCTCTCAGTGAAACAGCGGATTTGTCTCATTCGCTGCTGAACAATAAGAACCCAATGGACATTTTACGTACAATTCTCCAGACAGTAAGCCTTCACATTCAGAAAGGAGGGACAATGACCAATCAAGAAGACGTATTGGAGTGTCTCAGACCCTTCTGTGCTGATGTGAGTGTGTCAGCCCCTGTAAAGACAACAGTTCTTCGATTGATGGAGGAGTCATTTGAACTAAGTGGAGAAGACACCTTTTTGCTGTTGTTTTATCAAACAGATGCTGTTGTGTCTTGCACATGGAACAAAAAGGTAACGTATGTCAGTGACATTTTCCACTGAAAAGATTTTCCCAGAGTGTGCCCATCAAACAAGTGTTAATGTGATTACGGAATTTCTTGCAGGAATTTAAGTCAATTTTAATTTGCCAAGACTAACGGGAACTTATTGCAAGTTCAAACGTCCAACTTTTCATTAACCGAACTTAATCCCTTCAATTAAGCACATGAAGACTAGATCGACGTTTGAATCAATTAAGTCCGACGTATCTAATTTGGGTCGACCCATGAATTAAGATCGAGTGGCCCACGTGTCGAACGTCGAACCTAATACATAAATTACTATTGTATATTTTCACTGTCCGGAAAGCATTGTAGACAACTGTACATCGTGAAAATGATTTGAGTCCGACTAGGTAAGTTCGACGTCTGAATCAACAATCGAACTTGTTATGGGTCGACCTAAATAGGTATAAAGTTCGGTACATGAAAAGTCTGACGTTTGAACTATGGCAGGTGCCAAGAGCTATCGTATCAATCACTACTCAAAGGAACTGACATAGATTATTTTTAATTCTAAATTAAAAATTCGATCTATCCAGGTCTGGCTTCCAGTTTCTTATGTCTGCTTAGTTCAGTGTTATCGTTTCTTTCATTCAGCTCTCTCCAGAAGACATTGATAGTGATAAAAAAAGACATGAGCTATTTGAGACTCTTCTACTTGAGAGCCAATCGCTGGATCAGCTTCTTAGCCTGGGTTCCCTGTTACAGTTATGGCCTGTGCTGGCGGCTACAGAACTCAAGTAAGAGTAGAAATGTCTCTTTTATTAAAACCTTATAAATGACGGCAAACAAACCACGACCCATCCATTCAAAATGGTTTTGCACAAACGAATCCTTTCAAAATATAAGAAGATTAGAAGCTGGGGGCGGAGCGTATTGAGGGGTAACTGAAAACGAAACATATTAGTTGCTATAGCAACTAGCCAGTCACCCTTCGAGTAACTCGGCTCTTATCGGGAAACTCGTCCTTTCCACATTTGAATCGAAAACACAATATTCTCTCTAAGCTCTAAATGTTTCTGAATACTCACAAGTTGGACAATTCGATGACTTACACAGTGACCAGTTTTAGCATGTTTATTTTATCTTTGAACAGTGATGAGCCATCCGCTAATCCTTGGGTTCAACTTATGGACAAGCTAATACGTTGCCATGGTGATGGAGAGCACGTGATTTACATGGCAAAACAGCTGCGTAGCACAACAAGCCTCAATGTGGAGGTAAATGAATGCAAAGTTGCATACATAAAAGTATCATCTAAAACTGTCAGGAACATTCATATCAGTAACATTTTAGGTGCCATCCTCAGAAACAAACGGAGCTTGTACCTCCTAACTTCTTTCGTCTCGAAACTTACAAAAAAAAAAGCAACGCTCATTCCAAGTTATTGTATTATGATGTTACAAGGAACGGAAGTGCTGATGCAGCATTGACTTTTTAGGGCCTAAGACTGAAAGTAGTGTACCTTGGGAATGACGTTTAAACGTGCTATAATCGCTTATGTCTTTGCCTCCTAGGTATTCACTTATGTTGCATAGTTGACTTTGCGTTCTGCAGGGTGAGGTTAAATGGGCGATTTCATAGTAAAGCTCATGCGCCTCGCACAGCTCGAAAATATCAATCCTCATGGTCGACACTACATGTAAATTTGTTGTGATTATAGTTATCATTATATTATTATTACGTCATAGCATCGTTGAATTTAGGTGTTGTTACGCGCTTTCAATTTTTTCTTAGTGCTGTTCCCATGTGTATAATTTGATGCTGCTTAATTGTCGATCCTTGTATGCCTTGAAGTTTGCCTTGGTGACAAAACTTGAAGCTATGCATCACTTGGCTTTGGAAAACATGAAGAACTTGAAGGTAACATTGTTTTCTTTAGGCCCAGTCAATTGCTTTATATACAGCCTTTACATCTTTGATATTCACGTATGTTGTTATGAAGTTACCTCGACTTGAATTAGAAGCAACTGCAAAGTAGCAGTGCTTTAATTTCATTTGATGGAAAAATCGGGTTGGGACGCCAGAGGCACGGGTAATCGGTATACCGGCTCACTGCAGAATTGCCATTTTTCTTTTCGGTTTGGATTTAAAAAGGCGAGAATATTTGCAAGTGGATGGTGGAAATGAGCACAGAGTGCGAGTGGGGAGTCCCTTCCCATCACTCCCTTCTTTCCAGCTTCCAAATATGCGCCCCACCCCCCGCAAAGAAATGAAAAAAAAAGGCGAACGAAGCTGGCATAAACTCCAACGTCGGATGTAACAGCTACCGCCACCGGCATCTGATGTTCAGCCCAATCACTCTTTTTCTACGCCAGACGCTAGTAGTCAAATATGCAACTGGCCTCTGCAACGTAGAGAAGGGTGGTTGGTAACTAAGACACATTTTTTTCCGTTTGATGTTTTCCAACCAAATTGAAAGGACTATTTAAATTTTTCCGTTGCTCTCTGCAAGTGTGTGCCATTTTGTTTAGAGTGGTTACTTGCAATCTGGATGTTTAGAAGCCGTAATATCGTAAGCCTCCCTCCTAAAACCTTGTGTTTTCTCTTATAGGTGAATTCCAGTTCTTATGATGATGAGCTCCTGGAACTTTTAATATCCAACGGCCTAACTGCGGAAGTGGCGCAAACGCCCTTCCTCACCCCCCTGATAAGCTTTGTTCTCAGTAACCCTGATGGACCCATAGAGCCCCAGTCAGATGACACAGCAACAGCAGCAGCATCTCACACGAGAGCAAGAGTTAGGCTCGTTGCCTCTCAGCTACAAACAGCCGGTTTGTGGGCAGAGGCTGGCACACTAATGTTGAATTATCATGGAACACATAGCGCTTTAAGAACGTTTGACAGTGCTGTGGGGGTATTATGCAGGTGGCTTAGAAGATAACAATTCAAGTCAAGTTTTAAAAAAAACTGCAACAAGAATAGTAAAGCCATTATTTTAGTGAACTGTGGAACATCGATAGACAGCGATATGACTGAAGTTTAGAAAATCGTTTGGTATATTTATTTAATTAGGGTCTTCGTTATAACACTTAACTTAGCGGGAAAGAGATAATTAACGTTGGACGGAAGTGAAAAAGAACAGCTCATAGAAATAATAGCAGTGCGTTAAGCGATGTTCATTATTAATTAGTATGCCTTAAGTACTTGAAACCGTAACAAAAACGAAACGATTAACTTATCGAGAGATTTATGTTTTTATTAATTACCAAAATATAGCATACAATTAAATTATGTGATAGATAAATTATGTATTGACCACAAATAACCCTCGCGGTCTTGTCTACACCAGCTAGTGAATAATTTATTACGTTACAATGTTATTTTAGTTCTTTCTATTGACGTAGTTTTAGCAAATTTGGTCAACGTTAGCTAGTAATGAAGAATAGTCAGGGGGATAAGCCAATCAAAAGTGGAGAAATATTTTGAGTTAATAGTAATACTGGTCGAAGAGATAGTCGCTGCTTGCATGTACTATGGGCCCCCTGTTTAGTCATTACGTCGAGCGATTTTCGTATAAACTTGAAATTTGGTTTCGGTAAGTGTTCGTTGTTTCTTTTATCGGCCAACGGATGAAAAGGTCAAAACATAGCCTCTTCGTTTTCCCGCCAAAGAAAACCCTAATACGTTGGCGAAGAAATTTAATCCATTAATTGGTGGTGGGCTCTTTCAGTTTATGTTTGAATTTGCGTTAATTTCGTGACCCAGATCTTTTAATAACGTATTACTGTAACAACACTGTTTCAACCCGGAGGCAGCTACAGTAATTTAACAGTGCATATTTGTGGATTCAATACGGCTCTAGCCTCCCCGCAGACGTCCTTTGGGGTTCGTTTGTCACGCATTCATTTCTCCCCCACGTGGGGGAGAAATGAATGCGTGACAAACGAACCCCAAAGGACGTCTGCGGGGAGGCTAGAGCCGTATTGGGCGACTCAGCAACACTCATGACATGTAAATATGGGTCAAGAGACTCAGCTTTAAAAAAAGTTGACTTTATTACAAAGCATACAGTTGGATTTTTACAAATTTCAATCCCTCTGAGTGTACATGTACACAAGAAATAAAATTTTAACCTGTTAAGTCACATTTTGCAACGGGCAAAGTGTAAGCTTAACATACATTGCGGGGAAAAAAAATGAAAAAGAATAGAATTAATTGGAATCGTTGTAAAGTGGATTTTTTAAATGAAAAGTGGTAACGGAAGTATACTTTCATCTACATCCAAGAACTAGCGTTATACTAGCGTAAGAGACTGGGAAAAATATTAATTAGGACAACTTCTGTTTAAGTATTAAGCCACGCCCATTTAGGGTAATCTTGACAAGGTGCGATGTATGCAAATGAATGGAATGATGAATGGTTTACATGTAGGACTACAATGCAACGATCTACGCTGCATTCACTACCGCAAGATGTCGAACTCGTGTGTTTTAATTAAATTAATTTGAAACTTTTTAATTAAAATTTAGAACTTTTCTAAGTTTTGCTCGTCAGCTAGAAGACTTTTGGATGAAAATGTTTGTTACACAACAATGTTTTGGAGCTTGGAAAAGGCAACTTCTGGCAATTTAATTTAACTTTCTATTCATCTGAAATACACTCTTCGACAATCTTTTTAAGATTGGGATTTTCCATTGCAGCTGCTATTCTTTCTTTATCGTTAATTTGCTTGTTAACTGAAAAAAGAAAACAACAGGAATCAGGAATATTATGAGTCAAAGAAAGGAACAATATACATGTGGATACAGTACATTCTTATTCTTGTGACATCATTACTAACAAAGTTAATTTCACTGAATGAGAACGTGGGTTGGGTTTCTGGTATCTTTCCCCCCAGAGTGGTTTCGAGGTTGCACAAGACAAACCTCTGTTTTAATGCAAAGCTAAATGCGAAGCTATTGATCTGAAAATGATTTTTTATTCTCATGCAAATAAAACTCATTTTCACAAGAAAGGTTTTGCACTTAGCCTCGTTTTGAAAGTGAAACTTTTTGGAACTACGAAAGGGCCTATTCAGCCCACAGAACTAAAGCTGGCCAGTTCTGACTTCTGGTAAGCACCCTTATTGGTTATGAGTAAGCCATTGTAACCTACTTTCATCCTCTGTAGAGTGAGTTCCCTTGGAAAGAAAAATATCAAGCTGGAAAAACAAACAAAAAGCAGGCAGTTAATATCCTACCATGGAAGGAATGTAGCTTATCATTTCTCTGTAGCTCTCATATTAATTTGTTCTAATTTATTAGTAATCCAATATTCTAACTCAACAAAGTATCCAGGGTTTCCCTGAAAATTTAAACAAGGAGGAAAAATTTCGGTAGACAGCAACAAAGGCACTTGCATGTAAGGAGACACTAAAGGTATGCCCCCTTCCATTGCATGAGTCTGTGGGCCTCGATGGATGAAATGGTAATTTTGGGGCACTAAAAGTCACATTTTGGTGCACTTTGAGTGACCAGGGAAAGAATGGTAGCCATGAGGTTTGCACCTTTCTTACCCACATTTGCTTCATTGGATGAAACAAACATTTATTATGTTTGTTTCATCCAATGAAGTTTAAGAAAAATGTGAAAGATTTATTATCCTCCCTGGTGCTTATTGTCCTAGCCAGTGTTTCCTTGACAACTAGACAACAATTTTCCCAGTTGACAGAGACTCTGGAGAACAATTTGTATCTGAGGTACTGTGTATAAATATGAGCTGGTGAAACAAACAAAATGTGGCAAGTAACTGGTATCCAATGTAGTTACCAAAAATGACTAAAAATTAGCATGAGGGGGACACTTATTAATCTTTTCAAAATTCAGACTCAAAATAACTTTGTCTTTTTTTCCAGTAGAGAAAAATGTAATATCTGTAAGAACAAACACAAATCTCTGCGTGGTAGTTTCCAAAACCCTGTTTCCTCTCAAGTCCTCTTAGTTTCCAAATTTAAATGGTATTCTTCCTCTATAAATTCTGTACATAAGTCACATTGTGATATTTTTCTCTCATGGGGAAAGGCCGGGGTGCTTATTTTCAGAAAGGCACAAACTTGATATTTTAAGTCTCAAGGGGTGATAATTTGGAGGAGGGTGCTTACTTCAAGGAGAGTGGTTATTCAATCATTTATGGTATGCAGTTTCTCACACCCTTCCATTTTAAAGCACATTCTTGAAGTGAATTTCTAATGTGAATAAATATGCAAGGTACAAAGCATACAATTAAGAGGGGTATGCCTTCTTTATAGCTCTAAAGTTGCAGAAGCAAAATTCAGGTGCAGATCCACGCCAGTTTCCACCGTTTTACGAAATCGGTCAGATTTTTCATAAATAAATATACTTTTGATGAAAAAACTCTCCAATTAAAATCTCGCCAATATCCCGTCTGAATGACTCAGAAACGAAGGAAAGATGACTTTAGGGAGTTAACATTCAGTAAAATTTCATGGGGTTACTGCCTCAGGACCCCCCTACATGTATGAGCTTGCGCCTTTGGTGCTTGTTTAAGAGGTCAGTCAGTATTTATCCTACATGTCTGAAATTAATGCTGCTTCTCATTACTGAATTAACATGACAATTAACTTTGCAATCAACCATTTCTAAGTTGCCCCAAGCCTCTGTTTCAAAGTGAGGCTTAGTGCAATGATATTGATATGAAAATGATCTTTCATTCTCAAGAAAATAAAACTCATTTTCACAAGAAAGGTTTTGCACTAAGCCTTGTTTGGAAAGTGAGAGGTTTTGGAACTTGGAAATGGACTATTGTTACAAATTATACTTTCTTAAAAGAAAAATACATACAGAAATACCAAGGATAGGATTGGATACAAACTAAACTGAACTGCATTTCATACCTTGAACTTGTAAGGCAGTGAACGTTCTAACTTTACCCTCAAACATAGTCCTAGAGTACAAGAAATATATGTCACTTATGTGTTCAGTTGTGTATTTTAATTTTAATTGTATTTTTATGTTTCATGGTTTCAAAGCAAGGTTTTTTAAAAAAATGGATTCTGCGTGAGAGTAGTCCAGAATGAGCTAG